TTTCCCTATGGGTACATTTAACTTAAGGTAAAAGGCCTAACGAAATTTTTTTCTTTCAGGCTCTGCATATCAGCTTCTAATCTGGCCAAATTTCTGATTTAAAGTTATTAAGTCCTTTCAAATGTCATGTCAGGTTTCAGCCAGGAGAAGCAGTGAATATTTTTGGCAATATGAACAACGTCTTGGATTCAAGAAATGTCCCCAAGGAGGTACAAAATATCTTATCTTCACGATATCTAGAGTGACTCACAAAAGAGCCAAAGAAAGCGCCATCAACTTGTATGTCCCAGGAAAGCAGAAAGCCCAGCCAAGTTCTTTTTCTTTTTCCTATTTACTTATTTATTTATTAACTTTTGGCTGCATTGGGTTTTCATTGCTGTGCATGGGCTTTCTCTAGTTGTGGTGAGCAGGGGCCACTCTTTGTTGCAGTATGTGGGCTTCTCATTATGGTGGCTTCTCTTGTGGAGCATGGGCCCTAAGCACGTGCACTTCAGTAGCTGTGGCATGTGGGCTCAGTAGCTGTGGCTCGTGGGCTCTAGAGTGCAGGCTCAGTGGTGGCACACGGGCTTAGTTGCTCCGCGGCATGTGGGGTCTTCCCGGACCAGGGCTCGAACCATGTCCCCTTCATTGGCAGGCAGATTCTTAACCACTGAGACACCAAGGGAAGTCCCCCAGCCAAGTTCCTACGACATAAAACAAGACATGCAAGGAAGCAAATCTATCCCTGGGAGAGAAAGGACCAATAACCAGTTGGTATGGATTTTGGAAAGGAACAGCTGTGAAATGTTATTTCCCTCTCTCGACTGGACAGTACAGACAGAGATTTGGGAGTGCTGACTATGATAAGAATTTTCACCCTTAGCTGATTTTGCCAGTTTTTCCAGGATCGCATCTGCAGGTTCTGAGTGGGGTAGAAAGTGGAGAGCATGGCTCTGATTTTTACTAGATTTTGGCTAGGGTTTTAAATTAATTTTAATTTTAGTTTCCCCTAGGCTGTTAAAGAGAATAATGCAGCAGTTTACCAGAAAATCTCTGAGTCTCATCAACTCTGGGAGGGATCCTCCTTTCAAGGTAGGTATGAGGTTGTATAGAGGCTGTTAACTCGTTAGACTTTATGTTGCCTTTTATATCATTAATTTTTCATTAGCTTTTTGCAACGAAACTTTTAATGAAGGTATTTTTGGAATTTTGAAGCCTTTTGGGAGCTTCTGGGTGCCAATTAAAGTAAGTATCCCACTCTGTTTGTTTCATTTGGGAACTCTTCAGTGCACCTCTGAAATGATCTTATCCAATTAGAGAGGTTCTTCTAATGGGCATTGCAATTCCCCTGGGGGCTGACAGCAGTTATGTAGGACCCTAGTCTGTTAGGTAATTTCAGTCTGGCCATGTTTTGGGGCCCCCAACATGACAGTTACCAAGCCAAGTTCCCAGGAAACAAAACAAGCTTAGCAAGATTTTGCCATTACTACAAGTATCTATAGCTTCTGGGACCACCGTTCTTAGATATTAAAAAAAAAAGCAAGTGTGCCAGAAGGGGATATACTTAACTCTTTAGATTCTAAGGATCCCATTGTATTACTGTTTTTGTATTTTTAGCTAAGCTTTTGGGTCTCTCAAGACAATCTGATACCTAAAAGGGACATGATGCTGGGTTGGAAGTTGTGTGATGTATTACGCTGTACCTCACTACATGAAAATTAATCTCCTTGAGGTTTGAGGGTGACCCAATATCAATCTAACCCATTTTGTAACCAACTTAACCTAACATGGGTGTCTGAGTTAGGTGACAAGTGCTTTAACAGCATTGAAGTTTGCATCCCTTGCCCAACTTTTGTGGCTATGGCTTCTGAAATTCCCATGTAGCAAATAGCCTTTACCTCATGTGCACATTAACAGCATCCAATGGTAACCAAGGAAATGGAGCTGTGGACACCAGTAGCAACCAAAGAACTAGAGACGGGGACAGCATTAAACCAGCAGACCTCACAGATGGGCACTGTAGACTCATTCCTAACAAACGGAGAACTGCAGTTGCCATCAGCAGTTCCCAATGTGGACTCTGGGGGAAAATTCCAATACATAGGGAACTATACACTAAACCACCAGCAGATCCCAGTAAGAAAACTGGGAACAGAACCAAGGGCTGGGGCTTAGAAATTACTGCAGACTTCCCGAGAAAAGGTCCCGTGTGCACCACCAGCAATTTCTGTGGAAACTTGGACTAGGGAAAGTGCTGACCCAGCAGACCTCAACAAATGGGGACTGTGGACTCAGGGCTCCACATGGTTGGGGAACTGCAAGCTGCCACTAACAGTTCCCATGTGCATCTTGGGACAGAAAAAAGGTTGGGATTTTCCAAACACCTGAAAATTACAAACTAAGTAGCCAAGTAGAGTGGGAAGCTCAATGTGAAGAGAGTGGAGATCTGAACCAAGAGGAACTTACCCATGGCCCTCAGAGACAATGAGAAAGACAGTGAACTCAAAAAGGTTTCCTTCGTACCGTACCTGTGTTTCTCATTGTCCCCAAATGCCAAACATGTGTCTGGTTGGGGGATGTTCCACATGGGCAGAACCAGAAGTCAGAAAATGGTGCTGCAACTCAGGCCTACCAGGTTGCCATGCATCTCTGTCTCCTAATGGTACAGAAGACCCGAGAATCATGGATTCCTCACTTCTGCTTTCTGGACCTCACACATTTTTTTTTTTTTTTTTTTTTTAATTTTTGTTTGCATTGGGTCTTCGTTGCTGCACGCTGGCTTTCTCTAGTTGCAGCGAGTTGGGGCTACTCTTCGTTGTGGTGCGGGGGCTTCTCATTGCAGTGGCTTCTCTTGTTGCAGAGCACGGGCTCTAGGTGTGCGGGCTTCAATAGCTGTGGCTCATGGGCTCAGTAGCTGTGGCTCATGGGCTCTAGAGCGCAGGTCCAGTAGTTGTGGTGCAAGGGCTTAGTTCCTCCGTGGCATGTGGGATCTTCCTGGACCAGGGCTTGAACCCGTGTTCCCTGCATTGGCAGGTGGATTCTTAACCACTGCACCACCAGGGAAGCCCTGGACCTCACGCATCTTTTTCTTCCCTAAACTTTAACTCAGAGCCACTAACAAAAGGACTCTGGGATATATAGCTTCCCACCTTGCCCAAGCTGACAACAAAATTCAGTAGAACCATCTGGATAGTAGCTTTAAACTTTACACCAACAAGTCGCTCTTCTTAACTCAATGTTTCATGTGCAATTTCCACCCAAGATCATGGACAATGAAGAGAGGCCAAATTAATAAACATAATCAGATGAGACAGAACGTCTTCCAAGACCTTCCACAATTACTAATTTCTGTGAGGAACACAAATATGGTATGCACTAACAACAAACATGGAAGACACACCTTTCAGTAATATAAACTAAGGGGAGCATAAATACTGAGTCAGAAAATTCCAGTATAATTCAGGAACCAGAAAAGACATTTCAACAACACAGGTCTCACATCATGATCACATATTAGCAACATAAGGCAAAGTAAGAATCAAAAATATTTTCATCTAGGGGCTCCGCTGGTGGCATAGTGCTTAAGAATCCTCTTGCCAATGCAGGGGACACAGGTTTGACCCCTGGTCAGGGAAGATCCCACATGCTGCGAAGCAACTAAGCCCATGCACCACAACTACTGAGCCTGCACTCTAGAGCTCACAATCCACAGCTACTGAAGCCTGTGTGCCTAGAGCCCGTGCTGTGCGACGAGAAGCCACCGCAATGAGAAGCCTGCGCACTGCAACGAAGAGTAGCCCCCACTCGCGGCAACTAGAGAAAGGCTGCGTGCAGCAACGAAGACCCAACGCAGCCAAAAATAAATTAAATAAATAAATTCATTAAGAAAAAATTTTTTTCATCTAAACTTATACCATGTTGCACATGAAAAAAAACACAAACCAAAAAGACTTTCACTCTGGGTTCAAAAGACATTGTAATGGAATTGAGACAAGTATTATATGACTGTATAACTATTTAAAGTCCAAGATAACAAAACATAAGTAGCAAAGATGATGGGAACATAGAGGCATGGTTATTATCTTAAGTGTTCAGATCAGTTAACATGAGCTAGAAATTAATACACTGGGATCCCTATTCAGGATGAGGCACTTAAAAGGAAAAATCATACTTATTTCCATTAAAAAAATTTTTGTCTACCCTGAGTTTTCAAGTATAAAATAAATTAAGTGCTGAAGGTTTCCCCACATTCTTTCCGTTCATAATGTTTCTCTCCTGTGACTGCTCCATTTATAAGATTTTAAGGGAGAATGAAGGCTTTCCCATAGTTTTTCTATTCAGAATTTTTCGCCAGTGTGTGTCTTCATGTGTCTTTGCAGGGATATGAGACACCTATATGCTTTTTCACACTGCTGACATTCATATGGCTTCCCTTCACTGTGGGTTAGCATGTGTCCTTGCAGGGATCTGGGATACCTGAAGGCTTTCCCACACTGCTGACACTGATAGGGCTTCTCTTCACTGTGTGTTTTCATATGTTCTCGAAGGGATGAGGAAGTAATGAATGCTTTCCCACATTCTGTACATTCATAGGGTTTTACTCCACTGTGTGTTTTCACATGTTTTCTAAAGTATTTGGGACAACTGTAGGATTTCCCACATTCCTTACACACATAAGGTTTCTCTCCGGTGTGGATCCTCACATGTCCTTGCAGGGATTTGAGATAGGGGAAGGCTTTGCCGCACTGCTTACATTCATAGGGTTTTTCTCCACTGTGTGTTCTCATGTGTTCTCGAAGGTAAGTGCACCAACTGAAAGCTTTGCCACACTGCTTACATTCATAGGGTTTCTCTCCAGTGTGCATTCTCACATGTTCTCGGAAGTGTGAGATGCGAGTGAAAGCTTTCCCACATTCTTTACATTCATAGGGTTTCTCTCCAGTGTGAGTTCTCACATGCCGTGCAAGTTGGCAATAATAACTGAAGGATTTCCCACATACTTCACACACGTGGATTTTCTGTCCATAATGAACTCTCTCATGTTCCTGAAAAGATGAGGGACAAGTGAGAGCTTTTCCAGACTTCTTACACTCTAAAGACTGTTTACTACTGTCACTCTTCACACACCTCTTAGATGCTCTTCCAGCATCCTGATGTTTTTTGGGTTTCTCTACAATGTCTGTTTCCCTGGGAGGGCTTAGGCACGAGATACAGCTGCAGGCTTGTCCACATTCTTCACATGGATAATGTTTGTGTCCAGGGTGAGATCTTTGCTGATTCTTCTGGAAAGAATGATCCCTGAAGGCTTTTCCACACTTAATGCATTGATGGGGCTGAATTCCAGTCCAATAACTCTTATGCACAGTAAGATCTATAATCTGTTTCAGGGTTTCTAGACACTGATGACCTTCTTTACCTTCACAGAGACTCTCCACCAAATTATTTCTGTTCAAAATAGGAAGCACAGTGTTAGAGATTAATGATTATAAGTGATTTCTCAATTAGTGATTTGTTGATGGTTATTCATTATTATTTTGACTACACATTTGCCATTTTCAATGAATGGGCATGTTTTCAGCACTTTATGCATTGTGACAAAGTGCAACAAGTTTAATGCTCCAGCTGAGGGCTCAAGCAGAGCCGTAACTTTCAGTGTTTTTTACATATGAGGTTTCCTGACCAGTGTTTCCTACTGAATTAAGTTTTAGGAGCTTATCTACATCACATTTATAAAAGTAGTTTTGTAAGAATTCTGTGAATAGACAATTGTTTAGCTAAGTTTACACTTTTTTTAAAATTTCAAGTGAGTCTAATACTCTGCAGAGATTCCCCTTCCCCTTGTGGGAGTACCACTCACCTCAAACGCCTCTCCTGAGTTAGATGCTGATCTTGCATGTTATGAAATGCCCAGTTTTCTCCCAAAAAAGACCTGGAATCATTTCTTGTGAATCTTACTACTTTCTCTTCACTGCATAGTCCAGTCTCCAAAATATCCCAATGAGCACTTGATCTACTGGTTTTAACTTGAGAGCAAGAACCTGCAATAATTGGTAACATAATTAAATCCATGGGAAAGAAATGGTGGGATAAAGGAAAGAAGAGAGACCACATGTAGATTTCTTTCCATAGACTAATTCAAAAGTGTAAAATAATTTTATAAAGGAAGGAAGAATATGTGTGATATTGTGATTTATCAGAAATATATATATATATATATATATATATATATATATATACACACACATATATATATATTTGGTCATTCAGATGACCAACATAAATTTCTCAGATAAATCAGGTCCTTATCCATAGTTTCCAGCTCGGGCATCCTAAAACCCTTGGAATTTCCTGAGCAGTAAAAGCAATGGAATAATACGTGGTCTCTTGTGCTCATTTCCAGAAAACGCTTCAGGATCAGAAAGGTGAAATAGGTGTCTTGTTATTCATAAAAAGCCCTTTCCATCCCAATTGGGTTTATATTAATAAAAGAAATTGTTGGAAAGAACTGAAGTATGGGGGCTGGTTGCCAATGGAGACACCATGTGATTAAAGGGTTGAAACTTTCAGTCCCACCCACACCCCTGGACACCCCAACACCTCTGGGGATGGGGGAGGGGCTAGAGATCAAATCCACTGCCAATGGCCAATGATTTCATAAACCATGCCTATGTAATGAAGACATGAAAAAAAAGTTCAGAGAGCTTCTGGGTTGATGAACACGTGGAGATGTGGGGAGACTGGCACCTGGAGAGGCACAGAAACTCCTTTTCAAAATCTTACCCTATGCATCTCTTACATCTGGCTGTTCCTGAATTATATCCTTTTAAAATGAACCTGTGATCTAGTAAGTAATATGTTTCTCTGAGTTCTGTGAGCTACACTAATAAATTAGTTGAACCCAAGGAGAGGGTCATGGGAACCTCTGATTTATAGCCAGTTGGTCAGGAGGACAGGTAAAAGCCTGGACTTGAGATTGGCATCTGGAGTGGGGGAATATGGAATAAGTCTTGAAGGACTGAACCCTTAAGCTGTGGAATCTGTGACTATCACTGGGTAGATGGTGTCAGGATTGAGTTGAATTCTATGATGTGCTGCTGGTCCAATAACTGTTGGTGTGAGGTGACTTAACACACCTGCATGCGTGCGCACACACACACACACACACACACACACACTGGAATTGGGTCCAAAACAAAATTCACACACACACACACACACTGGAATTGGGTCCAAACCAAAATTAACACACACACAAAGAAAAATTCTGAGTATCTCAGCTATTTGGAACTTTAGTCATCATAGGAAAAATGAGTCAAAATGGCAGACTGTTCATTAAGAAATACTTCAGAAGAGATACTTCACAGAAGCAAAGCAGGCAGGAACTGGGCAAAATGCACACTCCCAAATGCTCCCTTCATAAGAGGAGCTATAGAAAGACTTCCCAAGTGGGCAAAGATGGATGAAAAGTCCAACAGGGAAGCCAGGTTAATGACAAAGGTCACCTTCTCAAAGACAGAGTCATGTTTCTAACAGGTATGTCCAAATATCACTCCCTGATCCAGAACCTGCTCCTCCCGAGAGGTGTGCCCTCCTGGTGATCGCAGGCACAGAGGCCCTAGACGAAGCCTATCTCCACTGACCCAGCTGCCACTGGGAGATCGGATAGTGCGTGGCTACTGTCCTGCTCACGGAGAAAAGCTCCTCACAGGGAGGATGGAGGACAACAAGCCCTCCATGAGATGGGCCGATTCTCTGGTCCTCATGTCATTGAGGATGGGTGAGTTTGGGTTTAACTGCAGCAAGATTATCAGGTCAAATGTGTACTGATCACAGTGTAACTTTCACAGGGTGAAAACCGTAACGCTGCTCTCACTGCCCCAAAGTGACACTGGAGACCACGCTCCCATTTACACAATTAGGGAGCCTCAGGATCCTGATCAAGAGCAATAAAAATCAATTCAATATAGAAATATTTATTGTCATGGAAAAGCTATTTGACTCTAGGTAGGTTCTATAAAGGTGGTGACCACGTCTGCCTGTTTTTCAACAAATTCCTATTCCTTGGTTCCAGTAACAAAGAACATTGTAAGAAATATTTGTTCCCTAAAGACTAAGTGCAGGGAGGAAGCCGTCCTCACCCACGGAGGCCAGGTTCCTGAAGGTCTCCAGCATCACGTCTCTGTAGAGTTTCCTCTGAGCCGGGTCCAGCAAAGCCCACTCCTCTGCGGTGAAGTTCACAGCCACGTCCTCAAAGACCACCGAGTCCTGAAACAGCCACAGGTTCCGTGTCAGCAAGGCTCCCTCTTCACCCCCATGTGTGGGAGGATGGGGAGGCCAACAGTCGGGAACCGGACTCAATTCCTAGGACTCCTGAGCTTACACTCTTGTGGGAAATGAACACACACAAGCCAATCAAATGCATTTTACTCAGTGATGGTAAGTGCTGGAAACTGAAACAAAGTGTAACAGCAATACCTGATAAACACTCATGCACAGATAATGAAAAAGAATGGATTTTACTGAGATAGAGCAGACTGTGAGGTATGACACATACTGAAAATGAAATCATCATTCAGATGACATGGAAATGGACACTTGGCCTGCTCATAAGTTATTTCCTTGAACCTCCTAGAACCGGAGCAGACTGTCAGGAGGTCTGATTTTCCAGGGCTGCTGAATCTGAACAACTCTCGCCTGGACTGAACAGTATGTAAAAGCCTGGGCCAGTCCCCTCATATCCGACAGAGGTAGAGATACGAACCCCCTACCAGGATGAGGTAGACACTGAGGGCACAGACGCAGGCCAGGGCCCAGGGCCTGGGACAGCTGTGGGGTAAGAGGAGGCCTGGTTCCTGACGGATCTATCAAGCCAGCAAGGCCTCTCAGATAAATAATCAAGAAATCAAGAATAATGCCCCATGAAGAAGAGTCACAGAAGGCTCTGATGGCATTAGAGCCAAAGATGACTTTAACACAGAGAAAAATCACCGAATTAATGTTTTTAGGACAATATGGTGTGACTCTACACCCTTGAAATATAAAGCAAACTATCTTTATCAATTAGAATTTTAATTAAAAATATATTCCGAAAATTGAAATGATAAAATATTCCACTACATCAGCTACAAAGAAGGCAAGGCTACCTCACCCGGGGCTGCAACTGGGGTTTGCTAATCACACACCTGAAAATATGGGACATTAGGCATCAGGGAAATGCAAATGAAAACTACAAGCAGATACCTCTTCCTAGCCACTAAGAAGGCTATAAGACAGACAAACCGATGCTGGCGAGCATGTGGGAAAGTTGGAACCTTACAAACTGCTAGTGGGAAGGTAAAATGAAGCCACTTTGGAAGACAGTCCAGCAGATCCTCAAAATGATAAACACAGTGTCACCATATAATATAGCAATTCCACCCTAGGTTATCTATCTACACAAGAGAGGCGAAAGCAAACACCAACACAAAAACTAATACACAGGGACTTCCCTGGTGGTCCAGTGGTTAAAAATCCACCTTCCAATGCAGGGGACACAGGCTCGATCCCTGGTCGGGGAACTAAGATCCCACACACCGCGGGGAAACTAAGTCTGTGCGCTGCAACAAAGAAGATCCCACGTGCCAGAACTAAGACCTGATGCAGCCAAATAAATAAATAAATATTTTTAAAAACCCCAAAAGTAATACACAGATGTTTACAGCAGCATGATTCATGACAGCCAAAAAGTGGAAACAACTCAAAAGGTTATCAACTGGTTTAGATAAGCAAACACAGTAATCTCACAACGGAATATTATTTGCAACAAGAGGAATGAAGTACTAATCCACGACACAAAATCAATGAACTTTAAAAATATTAACAGGATTCACAAAATCCCACAGGCTGCATCATATCATTTATGTAAAATGGACAGAATGAACAAAGCTATAGAGAAAGAAATTAGATTAATAAACTGCCTAGACCAAGGGCGGGCGGAGGCTTGGAATGAGAGGTGACTGCCAGCAGGTACAAGTTCTTTTGGGTGATAAAAATATCTAAAATTAGAATATGAGGACGGTTGCACAATCCAGTAGACATTCTAACACTTTTGAATTTTACAGTTTAAACCAGGAAACCTTACGGTTCATAAATTATACCTCAATAAAAACTGTTTAAAAAATAGATTCAGGGCTTCCCTGGTGGCACAGTGGTTGAGAGTCCGCCTGCCGATGCAGGGGACACGGGTTTGTGCCCCAGTCCGGGAAGATCCCACATGCCGCAGAGCGGCTGGGCCCGTGAGCCATGGCAGCTGAGCCTGTGCGTCCGGAGCCTGTGCTCGGGCTCCACAACGGGAGAGGCCACAACAGTGAGAGGCCGGTGTACCGCAAAAAAAAAAAAAAAAAGCCTGTGCATCCGAAGCCTGTTCTCCGCGACGGGAGAGACCACAGTGGTGAGAGGCCCGTGTACCGCAAAAAAAAAAAAAAGATTCAGACTAGCTAAAAACATGTTCTTTTTAATCTAATGGCAATTTTAGTCAAAAGCACCAGAACTTGGGCAAATAAAAGAATATGAATTGCTTAAGGAACAAAGTTACAAACGTTTCAGAGATCCAGTAGGTTGAAGAGATATCACAAACCAATTGTCAAGGATGCAACAAGTGCCCAGAGATGGAACTTGACGCATGATATTCTATTTCTACAGGATACAAAAATTCAGTCTGGTTTTCTTTAAGACTACAGGCTGAAAATGGTGATTCCCCAAACTGCCTTAACAGAGATTTCCTGGAGAGAAGTAACGCTGCACATTCCACCATGTGGGAGCTGAAAGCACAGTGGGCCAGTCATGTTCAACTTGGAACTGCCGTCACCTACGGACTGTTTCCACCCACCAAGGAGAGCTCCTGGAAAAGAGTCCTCCCAATACCCTGCACCATCCATAAGCCTGATCATCCTTGTTGAAACTCCCAAAATGGCCCCATCAAGAAAGAAAAAAAACAAAAAATAACCACTTTCAAAAGCCCAGAATGAAGAGCTGGCAGATAACATGGCTCAGCAAGAAGCAGCTCCCGAGGATGGGCTGAGTGGATGTGAAGCCTTTAAACACGACTGGCCCTAAAGATGATGAACGATGCTCAGTCTTGGAGATGAGGAAAGACTGTCTTTTCAAAAAGGAATGGGGCTCAAAATCTTTCATAGTCTTCCCTAGTATGGAGGGAGGTTTCCATAAAGCACAATTTTTGATACCATTCTTGGGGGGAAAATGTTGCAAGCTGACAGTTCATGAAAGATGTAGTTCTAGTACACTATTACCATGCACCTGCCTTAATAACAGGTGAACAGGTCACTCTTCAGTATACTTTATGGAGCCTGTTGAGCTTTGAAAATGGACAAATATGGGAAATAACAAATAATTAGTATTAAGTTAAATGATCTTATTCTAGTAAACATGATTTTTTTTTTAAAGGCATATGAAGTGCTTTTCAAACTCTCAAACCAATGGAGCAAAATACCGATGAACAATTATTCCCCCGCAGGATCCATATTAATAGAATCTCATCTTTAGTTAAGTCTTCATCTTGTCTATCTCCTTATCACTGAAGCATAAATTTCTTGAGAGCAACTGAAATACCAGTCTTGGAACTTTTTTACATAATCTTGTCATTCCTTCCTACTGTTCAACGGGGAACTGCTCCTCTTTACTAAACAGATATCTGTGTACACCACTGGGCTGCTCTGGGTCAAGAAGTGCTTCATCATGAGAGCTTTCAGGGTGTGTGGAATGGGAGAATATAAAAAACACATCTTCCCAATGCATTTGAGCAGAAGTGCTGGTTCCCATTTAAAGCCTGTCTCTCTGCTGCACATACCAGGATGGGAGCAAAAGATGCCTTAATATGTCAGGTGTCACGTGTCACGTGCTGGAGACAATGAGTTTAGTGTCTGTTTATCTTCTGTTCTGTGTTTTTAGTATTGCATGACTGAGGTCTTCTGAATGTTTTATCATAAGACCACATTTCAAGTCTTGTTTCTGCTCAGAGAGTCTTTTCAAATACCCAAATGTATTTCTCACCCTGATCTCTTGGTAATAATAGACATAGAAATCTCTCTAATGCTGACCTGCAGTACATGCTTGAGTTTTAAAATCATTAATAGAGGAAACTAATGGCATCATTTTACCAGGAAATAATACATGTAGGCCTTGGCAACACTGTGGGTTTAATTCCAGAGCACCACAATAAAGGAAATATTGCAATAAAGTGAATTACACAAATTTTTTTCCATCCCTGTACAGGTAAAAGTCACAGTCTTTTAAGTGTTCAATAGACTTATGTGTAAAAAATCTTGTACATACATTAAAAAACACTATTGCTAAAAAATGCTGACCATCAGTGAGCAAATACTCTTTGAAAATGGCACCCACAGACTTGCTCAGATGCAGGGTTGCACACCACCTTCAATTTGCAAACATCGCAGGATCTGCAAAGTGCAACAAAAACTGAAATGCAAGGGACTTCCCTGGTGGTCCAATGGTAAAGAATCCGTCTTCCAATGCAGAGGATGCGGGTTGGATCCCTGGTGGGGGAACTAAGATCCCACATGCCACAGGGCAAATAAGCCTGCGCGCCACAAGGAAGAGCCCACGTGCCACAACGAAGATCCGTGTGCCACAACTAAGGCCCGATGCAGCCAAATAATAATAAAACAAACAAAAAACGACAATCAACAGACACCAACATCAAAATCACATATGGAATTATCTGACAAGGATTTTAAAGCCACTGAAAAATACTTCAGTGAGTAATTACAAACACACCTGAAACAAATAAAAAATTGAAAGTCTCAGCAAAGAAAGAAAAGATACAAAGAAAAACCAAATGGATATTTTAGAACTGAAAAATACAATAACTGAACTAAAATTTGGATGGTTTCAATACAGAATGAATATGACAGAGGAATGAATCAGTCAACTTGGAGGTAGAACATCAGAATTTACCCAATCTGAACAACAGAGAAAAGAGACCCAAAAAAAGTGAAAGAGCCTTAGTGACCTGTGGGACAAACACAAAAGATAAAACATTAGTATCACTGGAGTCTCAGAAAGACTGGAAAAAAGTATGCAATAGAAAATTACTAGAAGACGGACTTCCCTGGTGGCGCAGTGGATAGGACTCTGTGCTCCCAATGCAGGGGGCCCGGGTTCAATCCCTGGTCAGGGAACTAGATCCCACATGCATGCCGCAACTAAGAGTTTGCATGCCACAACTAAGAGTTTGCATGCCACAACTA